CCTGTAATGGTTTTACCCTTTTCCAGACAGTCAATGAAGATTATTTCTTGCGAATCCCAAATGACAGTCGCCATAACCTTCCCGGCCGAAGGAATTGTCTTCGCCATTTTCGGAGCAGATTCCCCCTTGGTAACTCATTGTTTAGACTATTCTTTGGTCTCAGGAGTGTAGTGATGTATCCATGTTTCATCTACAGTGATGAAACGACACTTAAAGTCTTCCGGATTTTGCTGGAACAGCTGCAAACCATTCTTGCAACACTTGACACGATCTCGTTTTTGGTCAATCGTGAGCAATCGCGGCACCCATCTAGCGGATAGCTTTTTCACGTCCAAATGTTGGTGCAAAATATTATGTACCCGTTCGCTCGAGATGCCTACAGTACTAGCAATCTCACGTACCTTCACTCTTCTGTCAGCCATCACCATATCATGGATTTTATCAATGATTTCTGAAGTAATAACCTCTATAGAGCGTCCAAAACGTTCAGCATCTTTTGTGCTCATATGGCCACTCCGAAAATTTTGAAACCACTTACAAACCATTCTAATCGAAGGTGCACAATCACCATAATGTTTATCAAACTTCTGTCTAATCTCCTGAAGCGTTTTGCCTTTGAAAAAGTAATGTTTAATCAATACACGAAATTCTTTTTCGTCCATTTATTTACAACCGCTCGATTTCTTTGATTGAAACGAATGTAAAACGCAAAGTAATTGGCCGATCTGGCTGAAACTTGGTGTGTGCTCTTCCAAGATATGCCACTAACTAAAAATAACCTTGATACGCACTAGTAGCGCCATCTCTCTGACTTTGCACGGACTTTTCAAACGACCCTCGTATTTTATGCAAATTTTGATCTATTTCTAATTGTTTTAAGAAATTTCATTGATCAAACACAATTATTGATACACCGAAAGAATTCGCCATTTCAGAAGTTTCCTCAGCAATCTCCATCTTGTTCAGCTGTTTCATTAAGCTTGTAATTCTGTTTTTGATTTCCTTTAACGTGAGATATTTGTAATCTTTTTCCATTATAATAGCAAGCGACACATATTCTCTTTGTATTTCGTAGCCAAGTTTGTGTTTCCTAGTATGGGGGTTTATGATTTATTGAGAAATTTATACAGCTCATTGTAACTTAATAAGAGTGTTACAACCATAGCGACATCAATATCGATCGCAGCTGCATTAATCTGAGTTTTTAGATCGGTGGAAGGAAGCTTCTCAGAGCTAATTTTGGTTTCTTTTTAGTGGATCTATTAATTCTTGCAGCAGTATCATTATTTTTTACATCCTTGTCTATTATAGTGCCATCTGAACTCGCGATTGATCTTTTTGCAGGTTTCTTAAGGAGAGTAGTGTCATTAAATTTCAGGTTTATTCCCTTTCTGTTTTCGAGTTGTTCAGTTAGTTATGTATTTTGGTTAACTCTAGTAACGGACTCTAAATCATCACTAGATTGCGGTATTATCACTGATTGGATAGTGGTGCTGAAGTTCATTTGTGTATTTTGGTGTGTGCAACTTTTGCAATATTTGACTGAATGGCGTTCTTCGTGACAAATAAAACAAGTAATTTTGTCGATAGAAATATAAATTCTATATAGTCTCGTCACAGTTTATAGAAAATTCTGCTGGTAGCTTTGGAATGTCATCAAGTTCAGTGTCGAGTTGTTTGCGAAAGCGTCAAATATATTAAAATGCACTGTCACTGTAACCAAGTCTTATATTACTCGTTTCATTTTGGATTTATGTTTTTTAACTTTTTAATTTTTTCGTCATGAGGCATGCAAGGATGGGGATTGAAAAAGATAACGTGCTTAGTCTCTGCTATGTAGTGACGTACCTCTAGCATATATTCTGCAATATCAATAATATTGTTTCCATCTTTTGTTAGTTCGATAACTAGTATTACATTATTGAGGTAACAACAGAATCTATTCTGTGAAATTTTTGATAAGGGCTATGATGTTGGTCAGTAACGTTTTAGTTGCAATTCGCTTCAAGTACTCAATTACTTCGACACCTTCGACTGTGTCCAACAGAATAGCTTGTTCTTTCTTCGGAAATAAACTATTGCTTACAACCTTGAAGAATAAACTTCAATTTAATGATCCGTTTCTTAGCACTATAATTTAATTTAGCGTTACACTTACAAGAGAACGTTTCCTACCCTCCGCCTCCAATTTTACTGTATTTGGATGTTATAGTTTACTGAAAAATGAAAAATACTTGTTTTTTTTTATCAACGAAAAAAGCTTTCAAAGGGGTGAAAGCCATCCTCCAAAATCATCCCTCAGACCAGTTTTCTATCAATATTAATTGAAACCAAAAATATTAATAAAAAACTGTTCTGAGAGATGATTTTCGAGGATGGCTTTTAATAGGGTGAAAACCATCCTCCAAAATCATTCCTCAGATCAGTTTTCTATTAACATTTTCACCCCATTGAAAGCCATCCACGAAAATCATCTCTCAGAACAGTTTTCTATTAATATTTTTGGTTTCAATTAATATTGATAGAAAACTGTTCTGAGATGATTTTCGAGGATGGCTTTCACCCCATTGAAAACTTTTTCGCCGATAAAAAAACAAGTATCTTTTATTTTTCAGTAAACTATAAGACCCAAATTGCAGTAAAATAAGAGGCGGAGGGTAGGGAACGTTCCCTTGTTAGAGCATTATTTTCCATTGTAGAATTTTTGGCAGTTTGTTGCATTTGGGACATTATAAATCTATAGCTTTGTCTTATTATCACTTATTCAAAATTATAAATAGTCACAGTATGCCGCACGCTTATTACATTGGTCGCTAATCCGCAGAGATACGTAAAGACATCTGACTCGTGCAACTGATCGAACCGTATTTTCCCGGGTATTTTACAATGGAATTTTTTTATTTTGATTTCAGCAAACGGTCGCAATAATATTCCATTTGTTATTCACGTACCAATCGCCATTTTTTTCCAAAAAATCATACGGATGTGATCGGTTAGTATTAAAATAATCTTGATTAAATCACGGCATATGGCAGTTTGAACCTTGAAGCATGCGCTCAAAAATCGTAGCAATTGTTAAAAGCTTCTTTTTATGGCAATGTTATTGCAGAAAAGCTTATCTCATTCGAATAAGTCTAAAAAATATTGGTATAAGTCTAAAAATTAAGATAACTCAATAATTACAATGATATCAAACTAATTTTTTTATCATTATTAAGATCCATTGATATTGTTTATTGGGATTCCAAGTGCAAAAGAGAGCTTTTTTCATATTTTTTAATTTTATTATGTTACAACGGCTGAGACAAATTAAATTTTGTGACTTTAAAGTACAGCATTGTATTTACAATTTCATACTATAAAACTTTGTTCCTGTGCATGATCTTCGTATGTTTGCTCGTTTATGAGTAAAATGAGAAGTGTCGAAAAAGAAAGCTATTATCTGCAATTTATAACTTAAAGCATTTATTTTGCAAAGAACAATGAAAAATTGATGTTGTTAAATAACAAATATTTGTACTAATTAGACTAGACTAATCTTGAGGATTTTTACTATTTTCAAGTGTCTGACATATTTTTCCTTAATAACTTTTCATATAATTAATATTTTGAGAGAAAAATGTAGGGAAAAATTTACTTCAATATGTATGTGTAAAACCCAAAAAAAATCGATAACCTAATGTCTCCGAGTTCATTAAAATAGCTAAGAATCACCCATAAAATTAATCTTCAATGGAAACTGCCCACATTGTTTACTATCCATAATGTATGTGTATTACTTATTTAATTTTCAGAAAAAAGTTGATTATTAAGTACAAAAATTGCACAAATTTTATATATATTTTTGTACTAATTTTGTCATGTGTACAAACTTGTACATTTATTTCCAGTGGCAAATTAAAGCTTTTACAAGGTGAAAGGTGCACTTTAAATTTAAACTGAATTATTTTTTTTTTTTGAACTGAATTAATCAATTTATTTATATACAATTAATGAAAAAATTCCAATTTTATGTAAGTTACAAATATTTTATTTTACACAAAATTGAATTTTTTTTTAATGTCTTTTTACTGATCATATATAAACAAATACATTAATTCAGTTCAAATAATATTTTTATTAAAGGGTAGCCACTATCTTTTAAAAGTTTAAGTTAAATCATCGTTTGTTAAAATTCAGAATTTCATTTATAATTAATGTTGAAATTAAGAAACAATTGGAGAATTGCTTGGTTTTTCATCATATCTCACAAACATATTTTAATTTTTACATTCCTTCTTACTGTGTTTCTTACAAAAGGAACAAATTAAACAATGGAACCTACTTAAGTGTTGGAGTCACAAATGAAGATGCCAAGAGTCGTTGAATATGCATGGAAAATAAGCACTTATTGACATATTGAAAATCGAGATACTTGTAACAGTTTTGAATCGATATTATACAAGTGCTTTTATAAAATGACTGGTTTCTTGTTTGATTTTAATAAATATTAATAAGGTTGAAATATTTAGCACTTTTAATTATTAATAAATAACAAGTTTAGTTAAACATTTTCTACTATATGATAATTATATATTTATAAAAATTATTGTTTGCTAAATTGATGTCATACTATTTTGAGTTCCTCTTTTTAGCTTATCAAAAATCATCTTAAAAATACGAATATCTCTACTTTTTATAATAGAAATGATTAAAACAAAAAAAATTTCTAGGACAGAAATGGTCTACATATTTGATAATCACAGTATAAAATTCCCATAAGTATCCTACAACAAACGATATTTCATTAATGATTACTCTGTATAAAACATAAAAGCTTGCAACATATATTTGATAAATATACTTTATATACATTTTTTAAAACTATAATAAAAAAAATAAATATGTATCTTAACCTTGAATTTAATCATTTGTAAAATTTTTATCAAAGTTAAATCCTACATAAAGTTTTTAACAATAATTCTATGAATAATAATATTACACATAGATTTAGGACTTACCAAGACTAGTATCTTTCTTAAGAACAATTCGCCCTTGATCTAAAACTTCATTAAAAGCTGGCCATCCACATCCACTATCAAATTTATTTTTAGAAGAAAAAAGTTCTTGGCCACAAACAATACAGACATATATGCCTTTTCCATTAAACTTGTTATAACAGCCACTGAAAGGTCTTAAAAATAAAAAATGAATTTGAAGAATAAAAAAAATCACATTTTTGAAGTGGTGAAGTAATCTTCAACTGCATGTCGTAATTGAAATAATTTTTGACAAGTACATCACTTAAATTATATTTTACCAATTTGAAGCATATACTAGTAAAATTTTGCAACAGTTTTAGCATTATAAAAATAGTCAAATAGTCTTATTAAAAAATGTATAAATTTATGACATCTAAATTCAAATCTCTGAATAAGTTTACAATTATAATTATTATCCTAATGATTATTAATCGTTATAAAACATTGTAACAATATATAATTTTAGTAAATACCTTTCAGTCCCCTTCTCCTGAGTAACAAACCACTGAATAGGTGTTAATCGAATTTTCAAATCATTTTTACATATTTTTACCTCCATTTTTTTAATTCTTTAAAAGAGTATTCTATTATATTCCAATACGTCCAATGACCAATACGTACTTCAAGAATCATGGAATCAGGGAGTAATAGAGAAGGAGATACAACTCCAGGTATAAGAAATGAACCGACTTAAGCGAGCAAAATCATCAGATTCACTTATCGGAATACCCCCAAGTAGCATCAGATCCATCTAGTGAGCGCCATCCGTACCCTGTAGGCAGCCAATTTTATCAGAGGTTAGAAGCTTGCTGAATGCTGCGAGTGCCAGGTGACCACGTCTGACCTCAGACGTCTAGTATGAGCGCTCCGTGTTGGCTAAAGACCGAAGCGATCGCATGCCAAAAGGGGAATATGTCCGTACGATTACACGGAGAGAGAGGAATGTCTGAGCAGAGCAACGGCGTACGTCAACTCACTGGCTGGAATGCATGTTTGACTTTCGGAGCTCGGTCGGTTTATCGCGCTCGGACTTGTTATGTATATGATCGGCCTTTTTGCATTTTTAGGTTCATCGTAGGTTAATTAAGCTATTTAGTAAAATCCAAACATAAATACTTAATCTTAAGCCCCCTTCTTCTTGATAAACATATGCAACTTTCATGCTATAAAGTATCCAATGCATCAATAGTCGATGTAGCTAAAGTGCTCGGCTCATGCTTCCGTTTTAACCCTTGCGGGTTCCACTCTCGTTCGATCAACTATTTTTATTAATAATCCTTATTTATTTCATTTTTTCATTGTTTATAGATTTTACAGAACTTATGAATATGTTAATTGGTATAATTATTATTAAATATTTTTTAATATATTTACATGTAAAAAAATTATAAAGTTATTTAATTCTGTTTTCATTTATTAATATTTACGAAACGTTATCCTGAAAATCATTAATTCATGTATTATTCATTCATTTATTAATTAGTCATTTTTATTTTTGTTTTTGTTCTTTCTAGTTGTGTTACAATAACATATATATAATATCGTACTATATGATCTATAATAATAGAAACTCACCAGTACGCGTACGCGCGCGCAGGACTTTTTGATGCTTAAATGTAATTTTGACTATACAAGGCTATAGAGACCGAGAAAAACCGGCGGCAGTCTTAATTTCATGTAATAATGTGTTAAATTATACTTGAAATCCACATTCGAAAATTTTTCCGTGACGAACATAAGTCTGTCACGTCGATACAAAGAATAAGTACGTGACGAATTATGATAAGTAAATAACGGGTTATGGTAACAAACCGGCTATCGGTAATTTAATTTCCTATTATATCAACCCTCTCGGGAACATTTGTAAACCTATCTAGCGGGATAGATTAGTCTAAGCACGTCTCCATAATATTTCCACGAATATTACTCACCGCATATTAATTCGGCGAAAACACAGAAAGGGGCACATCAGCCTACGGTATAAAAAGGCTGGATCGGGATCCGCAAAACACAGTTCAGCAGTTTGGCAATTCAGAGCAATTCAGTTTGCACAGCATACGTTTCGCGCAGTACTAATTGAGTTATTTTTTAAGTCTAACTATCCGGCTACTCAGAACCGGAATTATACTCTGCTAAGCATTATAAAAATTGTCTTTAAACAATAAATCTTAAATCAAACGCAAACACCTGAGACTGTTCGTAAAAATCTCTTCTAAAATCCAATCCTAATAAGGTAAGAAACTGAGTTATCTACTTAAACGCGCTACATATAATAAAGGCGTTATCCCTTTAACCAACCTCTGCTTAACTCCTGACTAAGATCCAACTTTTACCAACGCGACAGTATTTGTATACATTATTACGTCTAGCAGTGACATCTCCTCGCCTAGACATAACAAGTTATAACATTAATAGAATAAGTACTGTAACGTTTGATCCTTATCCTACGTTATTAAATAAATAGTTCGGGCTCTAAGATACTATATATTAATAATCGCGTTTCCGAGAGTAAGCAAGAAGTTGACACGCGAAAGTTCTTTGAGTTTTGATATTGCTACAATAAACTAATAGTGAGCACAGTGATATCCACGTAGTTCGCCGTTTCGACGAGCCGTTTGAAATACAATTGTGTACTGTTGCAAATATCGAGGGAAAGCCCGACAGCGCCGCAGCGAATACTCAATTTAATTTCTAGGTAATATTAATTTTGGAGAGGAGATAATCGAAGGCTGCTTTTTTATCATAAGAGAGAGAGAGAGTCTTATGAATTAAGCACTCAAATTATCGTCTAGGAAAGGAATAGCAAGCTAACCACTGAATAATGAAAATTAGTCTCAGGAAAAAGCTGAGTCTTTATTTCAATCAATGCTCGCGCTGCTAGGCAAGGTAGTATTCTAAGTCCTCCTGCCGCAGCGATGAGCGAATTTATACTTGCGAAGACGGCTCCTTTCTACGCTTGGTAGCCTCTACAACGCTATTTTTGATATTCGCATAAACTTTGTACAGGTTTTATCACAAAATGGCTCGTTCGAAATTGAAAATTAGTGACTTAAAAAATTAAGTAGATGATAACGAATTTTTTAATATAAATCGTTTTTCAAGGAAAAATCGCCTCTTAAAATAATAAGTTATTTAAGTTAGATAAGCGAATAACACGGAATTTACAATAAATTTACGGAAGATTTTTACATCAAAAAGTCAATCGTGATAAGTGGAACATTATTCAAAATGAAAACCGTTAATTTAACAATCCGGTTTTGAATAATAATTAAATAATGAATTTTAACGGGGGAGGTTATCTGAAAAATGGAAAATTTATTTAAGAACAAACTCCCACGATGCAGAGCAAACCGCCGCTCCGTTAAACACGTATGATAGTACGTGTATTCGCCTTAACGTCAGATGATTTATCTTAGTTGTCTTCTATCAAACGGAGTTGAACTCACCTTAAGTCACGAGTCTTGTCACACTCGATGAGTTTTAAGAGTGAGCGACTTTACTCCTAATTTTCTTAATCCCCTAGATGTAATCAGATTAAAACCTAAGTCCAATGCGAAAACAGCCCGACACAAATAACATTTTATAAAAAAAAATGATCATATCTCACGTATGTCTAATTGTACTTCTCGAAAAAATAATTATTTGTTATTGCACCATTATATTTCTCATAAAAAATAAAAAATATCGTTATCGATAATTCACCTCCTATTTATTCGCATAAAAGACATAATTAAGCAAAAATAAATTCACAGAAAAATTGTACCTTCTGTAGTCTAAATTGTACCATCAGTACAATTCTATAAATTTGTTTCTAAAAGAAATAATAGGACAATTACAAATTACCACTAATTGTTACAACGTACAAGGATGTCATCCGGAAATGCACTTTGCGCAGACGTAGAGCTTTGTAATTGTCCTATTATTTCTTTTAGAAACAAATTTATAGAACTGTACTGATGGTACAATTTAGACTACATAAGGTACAATTTTTCTGTGAATTTATTTTTGCTTAATTTTGTCTTTTATGCGAATAAATAGGAGGTGAATTATCGATAACGATATTTTTTATTTTTTATGAGAAATATAATGGTACAATAACAAATAATTATTTTTTCGAGAAGTACAATTATACATACGTGAGATGTGATCATTTTTTTTTATAAAATGTTATTTGTGTCGGGCTGTTTTCGCATTGGTAACCTAAGCCTTTTTCAATTACTTAAGCTACTAGGAAAATTAAATGACCAAAACGGCGAATAAATTTAACAGACTTTAATTAATAAAAATCACTAGTCTTTGTAGGGCCGAAAGACTAACGCACGCGAATAGGATTTTACAATTAACTATATGTTCGGTGAGAAAGAGAGAGAGAGAGAGAAGATTCAAATTCTACCGCGAACTAACGCTCGACGCGAATACAAAAAAATAACGCTAACACGATTAGACAAACTACCGAATGTATTTTGTATCGCATATAATGACGGTAGGTGCACCTACCATGCGGTGCAATTACGGTGATCAGACGTAATTGTTGATGCAAAATATCAACTGCGGCTGCCCCTCGATTAATCGGCTGCGCTGCCTTACATTGCGTCTGATTTGCTGCAATCTGCTGCTGTATTGTCCTGCTGCTTGCTGCTGCAATGCTGTTGTTGCACACACGCACGTAATAGTCCCAGAAAACTTATTATCGACGAAAACTAAGTGCAACACAAAATCGGCGGTAGTGATACAAACACAGCTGAGGCGTAACTGCCTATTTAAAAGATCGCACGCCCCCTCTCTCTCTTAATTGTTCGAACTAACGCGCGAGAAGCAGAATCGCGAACGGATCGATTAATTAAATCGACTACCGTTGCAGAATTCGTAAATTCCTCTTTTAGCCATTATAAAATCAACAAACGAGTAACAATCGTTATCATTAATTTTATAGGTACGTACAATTGAATCGCTATCTCGCAACGCAATTTTAATTGTTTAAATAAATTATAAATTTTTTATTTATTGATAACTCAGTCGAAAATCAGTCATCAAAGTGTCAAATTCCTGCTTCTCGTTCTTAAGGTGCTAGGATTGCTATTATATATTCGAATTTGTATCATATTTATTTGTTGCAAAATTACTAGCGATATTTACTTGTAAATTAAATTAAACTAACAAATACATATTGAATGATTATAATAACTTGAGATTCGAGATTATCGGATGAAAATTGACTGAAAAAATGCTTTTGTTCATAAAAAAAACTTTGCAATTATTGATTTTGCATTGTAAACAATAAATTTCCCACGCTCGTGATGTCACGCTCCTTATATGGTCTTGTTTTCGCCGAATTGCCCTAACATATTTACGCGTATATGTGAAGAGCGCCTTAGCTCTGATACAACTTTTATTTAGTTTTTTATGTATGACGGATTGCTGTTTTGCAGTGGAAAACGAAGGAAAAGGCAAATCAGACTGGACCGTTATAGTACATAATATTCAAATGATGTAATTTAAGATATTTTTATGGAAAATTTGTAAATAATTCATACATACAATTCTTTATACACAAAATTTTTAATATTATCATTACCAGGAGAATCTATAAATATTTTCAATGAATCCCAAGATAAAACTCAAGATAAAGCAACATATAACAGCCCGTGGTTACAAACATAATTTCTT